TTTCTGCAGAGCGGCGCTGGCGACTTGAGCGCGGTTCTGTCCGATAACATCTTCACCATCAGGGATGAAGAATTGCGCGCCTCGGTCTGCTTCGGTAACAGTAGCACTATCCAGGAGAGTGAGAGAGCCGACCCCAGCAAGGACAAGATTCTTTGCGATTTCATTGGCGAGGGCCTTGATGGTGATGAGAAGGATGTTTGCGCTTTGGATCTTTGCCTGTGCAGCCATGCCCCAGAGGCGGATCTGACGGTCATACAAAGCGACCTCATCTGGCGCATGTTAGAAATGGTTTGTTCAGATGTGATTTGCGCGCGCAGAACTCACCAGCGCTGACAGTAGCAGGGGGGGCCACGGGAAGACTGAAGCCATTTTGACCATTCGGTAAGCCCATCCCAGGTTGCATCATAAATGAAGGGTTAGCCAGAGGCATCTGCATGGCCATCATGGAGGGATCAGCCATGAGTGAGGGATCGGCCAACATGCTCAGCGCCTCAGGATTCATTGGGTTGAGGAGATGCTCTGGTAGCTGGGGAATGCCATTGCCGTTGACGTTGATGTTAGCGGTAGCATCCATTTGAGGAATTCCCTCTTGCGCTGAAGCATTCGGGAGCTGTTGTGCTTGGGGCGCAGCTTGAGGCTGGCCTTGATCCTGATTTGAGTTGTCCATCGGAGATAGATTCGAGGTGAAGTCGGAGGATAGAGTTAATGAGATGTAACCAAGCGAATAAAGTGCCGAGATTGTGGTTTATCGCAGCGCAAGGCTGAAAGACCGTAGAGCGATATCGCAGGGCCTTGTTATGGATGAGATGAGGCGAAGACGCGTGATAGAAAAGGCCCAGCCCGCTGGGTGAGATTCAGCTTCTCCCGGTCAACAAAAGCACTGTTCATCTACGGCGCGCGCATCCACCTGAGAGAGGACCGCGGGCGGGTATGTATGTACGTATGCCTTGTCTTGTCTTGTCTTGTTTGCTTGATTGTTTAAAAAAGAGGCTGAAGATGCCTATCAAGACTTGGTTGAATGTTGGCTTTCACGTCAAGAAGTTATGAGGTTAGTGAGCTGGCCCTGGAATGATTGGATAGGCTGGATGAAATTGTTAGTGGGATCGACATGGGTACTTGCTGTAGGTACCACTTGGTGGGTCTCTAACGCGCTCTGGGGAATTCAAGGCTGCTGTAGGGCGATGGGTGGTATGGGTGGTATCAAAAGGGTACCTGAATATCACGTGCAATCAATGAAACATGAGAACCTGAGGTACCTCTCGCATTCAACCAGCAGAGACGTTGAGGAAATGATATTAGATGGCAGGACAAAAAAAAGGCGGTTTTCAGTTATTGCTTAACAACTATACGGTTTTAAATATATCATTACTTTCCTTATAGAGAGAAAGAGGCTAACTAGGTCAAGAAGTTGATGTTACAGGGACATGACTTGCGTCTACTTGATGCAAGCATATCATGTACAGCTGTGTTGCAGGGGGATGACACGAGGTATCCTCTCTTCCCTCTTCAGTTTCTTCCCAAACTGGAAGGGAAATGCCCGTCGCCAAAGAACAAACTTTGATAATTATGCAGTATTCGCAGGCAGTCGGTATGGGGAAATAGGTGACTTGGGTGCATGCTTCACGTACATTTGGTACAACAGAAAAACTAAGAATGCATGCGTGACTGAGGATCAGGTTTTGATAATAACATCGGACTGTTAACAATTGAGTTGTTTGCCATTTGCCCTGGTAGTTGGATGCAGCATGATACTCGCACAATGTTACACATAGTTGGTACGAGTTCAGCCATGCTGCAACACCAGACCAAGGTTCTTACTATAAACTGACTACAGTGCATATAAGAACCTGACCCTTACTCGAATTGAGATTCTGGACGAACGGATACAGTGCTGGGACTCAAAGTTATGGCCTATCCCTTGATGTGGCTTTTACCGCCTTTATCCCCCCAGACCATCATGGACGGCTCAAAAGGTCAGCCAGCCCGGCCCTGGCTCTGACATTTCTTTTTTAACTGTCACCTCTCACAAAGGATCTGTCTTTTTCTCTATTAGAGGCTTTGCATACTAACCCAACCAAATGTTTGCTACAACATCTCACCGCTACCGCCAAATCTAAACTATCAACGATTATTCGGCTTTATTGGCGTCTTTGCTATCACGCCGTCTCATTCATGGTGAGCCCGCCCTCTCCGCTCGCCCCCGCCAAAGAACGGCGACTTTCGCTCAGAGTCAGGGCTCATGTGCCGTGGCACGCCTGACCTTTAGCTGGAATACAACCTTGGCAGCAGCAGAAAAACTGCCAGGTAGAAGAAGAGAGAAAAAAGGCGCATAATACCTGTATTGCCTATGTCCAGGATGAGCATGAAATGACAGGTAGGGCGGCTCAGCGAAAAGCAAAGGCCAATGATTGACTGACATAAAACCCCCCACAGCAGAGTCATTCGCACAGTATCTAATCACTAGCCTACCTTATTGCTCAACACATTGTCGCCATCAAGAAGACACCAAAATCACTGTGATTTGGGGATTCTACTCACCTAACTCACTACGAGATCAAGGAGTTACTCACAGTGAGCCAAGTGTACCTTACGCCAATACTGCTTAACTGCTGTCACTTGGACGACAACGATTAACGACTACTCATTAAACCGTCATCATTACTATTTTCGTCACATTTCATCTGACAAAAGACGGGACCATCAGCGGCCATCCTCCAGGCTATCTATTCGCTTCGCTTCAGTTCAACCCCACGTCATAACTCACATCCAACCATAACCACATCCATATCCACACTCATAGTCAGAGCCATAGCCATAGCCATAACCGCCCACCGACTAGTGAAACCCCCCCAGTCCCGCTGTTAATTCATACATCATATACATACAAAATGTCTGGCCGGCCGGGATCAAACTCCCACCATCGCCATTCTCGAGAACCCCTCGACGACTTTCCACCGCTTCCCATACCGCCTCGACTGCCCTCTCTGAGAGCCCTCGCCCACGCCCAGCGAGATCGCGACCGAGACAGCCCCTCGCCGACTTCTTCCAACCGTCCTCAGTCCCGGCACTGGTCAGCTGCTTCACGCCGCGCCGACCGCATCCGGAACCTGGAGAACAGAGCCCCCGGCCCCGGCTCCGGCTTCGACGACTTTGAACGGCCCATGGACGACGGCTGGCCGACTTCTCGACGTACTGACCGCATGCGGGCTGCCACCGCCGCCGAGAACACCAGACCTTCCAATCTCGAAGACCTCGATCGACACCTCGAGGAAGCCAACTCACACCTGCGGGCCCTTCTCGATCTTCAACACCACCCAAGCCTCACGCCTCCGCTCATGCCACCCAACTTCTCTCCTCCACTCCGTCCCTCAGATCTCCCTGACTCGAATCGACGACACAAGCGCCGGAAGCTGGATTCTGATCGCCTCGCGCCGGCCTTACGAGGCTTTCGTTATGGCAAGTATGGCCAGGTCGAGCAAGGAGATCTCAAGATGGAGATCGTCAGCTGTGATGGGGGCATGTTCTCCAATGAGTTATCGTACGCCGCCGAGAATATCCTCAAGAACGACACATCGGTGTACTGCACAAAGGGAAACAGATGCAACATAGTATTGAGACATCAGGGTGGCACCGTTTTTACTCTCCAGGAGTTGGTCATCAAGGCGCCTGCATCGTCCAACTATTCACATCCGTATGTTGTCCCATGCGTTACAGCATGATCCGGACAACATGGCTAATTCTGCAACAGCGTGAGAGAGGGAATGGTCTTTGTGGCTATGAACCAAGACGAAGTGCTCAACCGAACAGCCCAGTACCAAATTCAATATGCACAGCCATCGAATGAGCCAACTCATGATGGGGACTCGAGAGTTCTGCAGCCCATCCCAACTGAAATAATATCAGTACAGCACCATGAGAATGGCACTACGACCACGAGGTCTCGGCCAGCATACCCCTACCGCACCAACGCCGATGATTACGAACCACGGACACCACAGATGCCTGAAGAGTTCGCCTCCAACCTCCCCGACTTCCGAGTCACTACTGAGTGCAGCGACGACGAAGACGACGATTTTGACGGCCCTCGTTTCCTACGCCGTGCACCCAACCGCATCGGCTCCCTCCCTTTCGAAACCCTCGACTCTGACTCTGATGGAGACGGCAACCCCTTTGATCCTGAATACCTTGACGACCACCATCCCTCCCATTGGCGCCTCTACAGTAGTGCTGCCAATACCAGCGGCCCAGGGTTTGATCCTCCATATTCACGTCGCCGCGAAAGAGAGAGGGAACGAGAAAGAGAGCGAGAGCGGGAACGCGATCACGATCGCTCAAACCGATCATTCTCCCTCACTGAAGCTTGGGAAGCTCACGCCTCTGCCACGCAAGACGCTGTTCGAGCTGTTGGCGGTGGTCAACTCCTCTCTCCGCATGCCCGGTTCAACATCGAGAAGAAGAAGAGCAAATGCACAATCCGCTTCGACCCGCCTGTATCAGGTCGATTTATACTCCTCAAGATGTGGAGCTCTCACCACGACCCCACGAGCAATATTGATATACAAACTGTCTTGGCTCGAGGTTTCGCAGGACCTCGCTACTTTCCTTCGGTTGAGTTGCGCTGAGATGGTTTGTAGATATGCATAGAAGAGAACACGATGTATCGAGGTCTTTGGCTTTTAGTTATATGGAATGATGGCAATATACCCGTTAGAAGATGCTGGCTGATCATTATGTGCTGGGATTTTATTGCTTGTTTGGCCCGTCTACTGACTTAGAATCCGACAGGGCTTCATGATCACAAGAACTGTCATATTGAAAGAACAAGGAAAGGATTTTCGAATAAACACACTACCGTCTACCGTGGTAAAGATACTTGCAGCCTGCACCAACCATACGCCCAACCGAACATAATGATGATAACAACCAACCAAACTCCTGACTTCAAGACGTCCACACAAAACCGTCACCTGGGCTCTTTCTCAGTTGTTCGAGGTTAGCCATTATCCCTGGCTAGTTCGGCGACTATTGGGGCCAGTAGGCGGAGGCTCCGCCCAGTCTTTCGGCGTGTCCAGAACAGCAGCCAGCAAAGTGATAAAGAAGCCGAGCAGCCTGGCGATATGGTCAGTAGTTGGGTAGATGTCCCTACCCTGCCATAACCACACTTACAGGTTAATGTGTGCAACAATGACTGTTGCCTTGCCTAGACGCCAACCAAAAGTGAAGGGGAAGTTAAAGTTCAAAGTATTGGCCCAGGTGAGGTAGAAGATGACCAAGAATACGAAGGTTGCCACGCCTATAACCCTGAAGACGTAGCGGGCAGCGCGGTGGTTGAAGTGTCGAATCTTGGTGAAGAGGAACAGAAGGGTGATGGAGGCGATGATCCACGTGACCCCGGCCACAGCAGCGAGGAGCAGGTAGGGTAGTCTCGAGTCCCTCAAAAGTCTGCGCGGATAGAAGGTGATGGCATCAGACTCATTAAGTGAGAAACCCTCGTGTCTGAGGTCATTTGCGGTCAGGAAAATTTTGCTCCTGTTCATCCGGCTTAGCACGACAGAGGAGACATTGTCTCGTCTTGTTAAGTACTGGCAGGCAGTGATCGCGCTGAGGATACATGTAAAGAAATTGGTGATGGCGTAGAGGAGAAGGAAAGCCTGGAGGATGGTGCCGCCCATGCGGCCAGCGATCCTGGGACCTGTCGGTTGATTCATCATTACACAGGGGAACATAAAAAGCCTGATAGGTGATGAAGTGTAGTGATATCGGACAATGGTAGGCGTTGATAATGCTTTGAATACCAAGAAAGAAGACGACGAAGATGATGGAGAAGAAGAAGAGCTCAGAGAGGACGGGAGAGAGAAAGCGGGTGGTTTTATTCATCCCTCGACGTCCGGGCACCTTCCTTCATCGGACATGAAAAGGATGTTGATGGAGGCAGTTGCAAATGACTTCATGGGCGAAAGAAGTTGACAGTCCTGGAGTGTTATCCGTAACTTCCACAATATCCAAGGTACCTGAGATATCATAAGATACCTTACCTAGGCGCTACCTAAGACTGAGTTGCCCTCAACATTCTGGTTGTTGTATTAATATCTACATTATGGTTCGGGGTGCTGAAGTTTTTCCAATGCCTGGGACCTTTATCTCTCACGACCAAGCAACGAATTCGCCTTAGCCAGGGCTTCTCGATTCTTTTGGAGTTGAGATATCCTGCCTTCTTGCTGTCTTCGACCAATTCACCAGAGAACCTGCCTGCAAAATTTGAGTTCTGGACATTGGAGGCAATCGCAATGAAGGTATCCGAAGCAACTTTAACTTATAGGCAAATATAAAACCCTTTGCAGGCAGTCACATTGACACAATAGGAAACCAATTTGAACACCTGGGTACGGTAGGCAGTTCCATTCACGTGTGAAAGGACTTATAAGTCCAACATCGGTCTGTTGAGTACTATGTAGAACATGCAGATGCGACTCAGTGGGTGATAGTCAAGTAGAAGCATTTCAACTAGATGCTTAGGAGAAAATACTTGCAAGGGGAAAGATACCTAGGTAGGTAAGGAAAGTTCCCAGCACCGTCCTGAGTCAGTCCATTCTTGCCTCGTAGGTTGAGAATTTGTGGGCACAAGTCCAGAGAACCGCCTCCAGGTTGTTGCTTCGTTTGAATCAGCTATAGAGTATGAGTTGCCTACCTACTAAGGTAGTGGAAGCATGAAATTGGAGTTTCCGCAAACGAGGGCAATGACGAAGATGGTGGAACGTCACGACTAATGAGAAGAGGATCAGGCCGAATGAAGGTGTTTAAGCAAGGTTAGGAGGTAGGATTGTGACGACAGTCTGTATTAACGGAACGCGGGGCTCTCATTTGTCAAAATGATCCAGCTGAAGAAGAGCTGGTATTTGTGTGGTAGATAGTCGCCAATACCATTCATCCCAAAGCGGCCGAAAGACCAAGGTTACTTAGTAGTAACTAGACGCTGGAGACTTTACTCCAGCGCCCTAGGCCTAGACTGTGTCTATAAACTCCACAATGATCAACCATTCACAACTTTGAGATGACGGAGGCAACTTGACGCCATAGTTTATCGTCCAGGTCGCCCTGTCGACTGTACCTGTAGCCAGGTAGTGGGCACAAACAAAAGCCTAGAATTCTTACCACTCTCTAGGTAAGCAAATATGGTGTCTTTTGGATACCAATATAACAGAATGTCTAGTAAAACAATCAGAGAGCATACCGTACATCCAAGTTTCCATCATACTGAGGATAGCCCGCGACAGTCGTTGGCATGAAAGACATCAACGATCATGCAAAATCGAAGGGAGATCTCTTCCGGGGCCTCTTGATCTTGTGCCGCCACAAGGCGCTATAGATCGTGGCGATCAAGTTCATCAACGTGCCGGCGCGAAAGTTTGTTCCTGTTCTAGGATGAGGTTAAGGAACCAGATGGAGAAGGGAACGGCCTGGACTTGCCAAGAAGTGGTCAGAGTTTGGCCAGGCTTGTGGGCTGAAGGGTGAAAACGCATGGAAAAGCTTGAGATGGCCCTATGAACCTAGATTAAGGTAAAAACTTTGCTTTTACATTTCTGCAGGTTCCCGTGTAGGACAGCCTAGACTACAGGGCAGGGCGAGACAAAGACGTGCGGGGACGTTGAAGCCGTTCGGGAAGGGCTCCTTTATGCAGTAGTGTTATGCAGGTGATAGTGATACTGCATGATTTATATGGGTAAGGTTGGTTGCATTGATCCTTCAGTGCCTTATCCTGTGACCATTATTATGGGCTCAGTTTCAGGGACTCGGCTCGAGAACGAGGGAATTTCACTAAAGGCCAATATTGAGTCAAGATCCCTTGATCAGTCATTGTCATGAAAATGTAATTCATGATTCTACTAACGACGTACTATCTACGTGGATGAGACCAGACCAACCTCCAGCTACGTCAAGCCTACAATGATAAAGTGCTTCTCGAGACAGTGGCGTGTCTTTGCATTCCTTAGCGTTTAGGGATCAACGCTAGGGCGTTACCAAGCTCGGCTGGCTTGCTCGCCAATTGTTGGTAGTGAGACACTATGAGACGACATTTTGCAGTGTTTATTCCGGAAAGGGTTTCAAAGATAATTGGAACGTCTTTCTCAGAAATGCAGATACGGTCATCCTTTATAGATGGACCTGATAGTCTTTCGGAGCTGTGTCAACTTGGAGCTGCAGAATTACCCCATTGGTACAAGTTTGTTAGGCATTAGAGGACCCCTCAGATGCCTCAACCACCCAATGATGTCCAAACAAATCCACCATCAAAGCATCCCACCCAAGTTACCCAACCATACCCGTCTATCCGCGGAGTGGAGGAGGTGTAGGGCCTGGTTCTTGGGTGTTACTATAGGTACAGTCGGCTCCTCCTCAACCGAACCCGGCCCCGCGCAACAAACTGTGGTGTTAAGGTTAATATCTATGGCCTCCTCTCCCGCCATAAACCACCGTTCACCCATCGCCAACTCTCTTCTTTCCACCACAAACTCCCCCACCGCTCTCCCTCGACATAATCGATTTGGAGAACTCTCCACCTAATATATATCAATACGATCGCCGCTACTAGCGTTCTTCTAGTGCTTGTCAAACTGGGTTCCTTTCTCTGGACCCCTGTTCCATCAAATCTCCCAAACCCCTTGGAACCGAAACATTAGCGATTATGCAGCCTCTGGATCCCCAGGGGCTCGTTGAGGATCGAGCTGCCGAGGAGGAGCATGGACAGTTTCCCATCGAATATCATTCGCGTCTAACGGGGCCAAGCTCCCAAGCGTCGTATGGCTCCAGTGTTCGCGCCTCGACCGCCCGGAGGCGAGCTGCTGTGACAAACAAACCTAAAAACAACAATCTATCAGAAACAACTTCTCTCCGCCTTTCCCCCGCGGCTCTCAAGACACCCAGCGCTTCTCAGTCGACTCCCCGTTCAAGTCCTCCTCTGGCTCCTCTCTCATTAACACCTCCTACGACAGCTCACCACCCTCCCAGTTCTTCTGTACGAACCCGCGATCCTGGTCTTCATGTAGAGCCTACTTCTCCCAAACTTCAGTCACCTCTGCGTCACTCCATCAACTTGACCGACAACAACTTGGACGTTGAATCGCAGCTCTACAAGATCTCCAGTGGTCAGCCCAGACCACTTTCTGTCGACATGTCGTTCACCGGCGATAAGAGGCCTACTGCCTCCAAAACTCGGTCAAGTTTGCCTGCTGTTGTGGAGGAAGCTCCTCGAAATGGGTTCTCAACTTGGTTCTCTCGATCTAATGCACCTTCACCTTTGTCCACAACCGCCCCAGAAACTCGACGACGCAGCACATCCTCGGCCAAGCCATCCACACCAACTTCTTCTCGATTCAACTTTTTCGGTTCTCTTACGGCTTCACCTACTGCTTGTCCCTCAGAAGAACAAAATGAGGCCCTGATAAATCTCGACATCGAGAAGGGCCTTTTCCCCAACGGTCTTCCCGTCGAAGGCACAGCTTTCTCGCCATCCGCCTTCAAGAATCTGCAGATGAACGCTACCGGTCTGCTGAGCAAGTTCCAGGCTGCTTATGAGCAACGCACAACAGAATTCAGGGAACTTCAGGCTGAGCGTGATGTTCAAAATTTCAACAAAAGTGAAGCTGAAACCAGGGTCCAACAGCTCGAGAAGCAGCTGGAGGAACAGGCTACCCAGATGGCAGAGCGAGATGCTATGATCGAGTACTTGCTTAACCGTTTGGCAAATGAAAAGGACCGAGCAGATGAGGCGACTAATGGCGAGAAAGAGAATATCACCTCAGCAGCTTCGATCGTATCAGAAGATCTGGGCGTCGATGAGGACCGACTAAAACGCTGGCGAAAGAGTACTTCGACCTCGTCTGATGATGAGAGTGTAGATGAGGCCAGTGTCTTCTCGCGATCTCGAAGCCCAACAATCTGCACCAGCATATCAGAGATCAGTCCTGTTACTCAACCTAAGCCAGTCACACTGGAGCCTCCTCGTGCCGCTGGTGGTGCTGCCGCACGAAACAGCAACAACGCTCAAATGGGCACATTTCAAAAACTTATCCGGGGCATGTCGAGCGAGAAGCCCAAGCCTGCGCCTACGACATGCCTCAACTGCCAAGGGCAAACCGCCAGTATGGCTTGGGATACCGTCAATCTTCTCAAGGACGAAAACAAGGGTCTGAAGGACAGGGTGGAGGAATTGGAAACAGCAGTGGAGGGCGCTCTCGATGCTGTCAATGGCCTCGGCTTATGAGACAGTCTCGAGCTGCGACCCGAACCATGATAGCCTAATGCGAGACCCGGGATGGGTGCTCAGCTGCAGTGTCACACGGGGAAAACGGCGTTATGATTACAAGGCACCTTCTTCTGTGGCCTTGGATGGCCATTCTTTATTTTTATTGGAGTTGTGGGCTACAGCCGAAATGGATATACGGCGGCGTTTCTGGGCATTTGATACCATTCTGCATGGGTCTAAGGACCGATTTTACCTTCGTTAGCATAGAGACAGGATAGTCTCGTGAGATACCTTTTTACCATGGTTTGAACCACCAAATTGAATCAATTTGATATCTTGAACAATTATTTCATGAGCGGTTGTCCTTTGAACCGAGTTTACCTGTCTTGGAAGACGGCTCATTGCATAGCAATTCACAAACTTCTTTGTCGAGACTCGAGATATTTATAAAACTTGCATGCCTCATTCTTTTCGCTTTGTTCATCGAAAAACCAAAGCACACCTTCTCCGTAAGCTTCACAAGTGGCTGAGTGATCCAGTTAATGACTGATAAGGTGAGCAAATATACCAGTAGTCTTTCACATCATCCACACTAATGACCGTTGTCGTTGATAAGAAAAGGAAGCCTTAGCATTCGAGTGGTATTCGTAGGATAAAACGTCACCAACAAGGCATGCTATCCGGTGTCAAAGTTCTTGGCGCCTCAACATATCGGCTTTCAAGTTCGCTCCAATACCACAACAAGTTCATGATGAACTCAAAGAGGCAGGTCGTCCTGCTTCTTGGTTTTGATATTTCTTTTGATTGATGGTTCCATAATCTGATCAAACACCGTCCTCACCGTGGGAGGTATATGTACAAAACTTCTCACCACTGGATAGTTGCATTCCAGTTAAATCCACTCCCCCAGTCGTCGTATGCACGCACTCTAGTGGTGCTCCTCTCCATGCGCCTCGCCGTGGTGGTGCTCGTCCTCGAGGAAGAAGTATTCGTATCCGCAGTAAGCGGTAAAAGCGACTGTCGCGATGCCGAGACCGGGGAAACCGCTCTTGAGACGGTTCCAGCGTGTGTAGGGACCCTGGTATCGCCAGGCCTCACTGCGAGGGAGAGTCAGTACATTGGCTCTGTTTGGTTCATACGTGACAGCAAGGGACTACGGACTTTCGCTCCCAGGGGTCGTATCGAGGCTGGCCGGTTGATGCTTGGAACGCCCGCATGTTGAAGCCGGTGATGTTGGGCTTGGGACCGCCCGCGGCGGCTCGGAGCACTCTACATGGAGAATATATTAGCAAACCGAGTTCATTCGCTTCAATTGGTTGCGCCAATTGAGGTAATAGCAACTGTATGAGTGCGCGCCGTACCTCGTGGCAAGCATCGTGGGCTGACGGAGAGATTCTGGTGGTGGTTGGATCTGACGACAAATGAAATGGGCGAATGGAGAGCGAGCCAATTCGACCTTAGTGATGCTGGCTGTCTCCCCCGTCACTGTAGGTTAAGTAAAAAGCATGCATGGATCGGATCAAAGTTGACTGGTTCCTCCGATATGACGCACGGACCAATTGATTCTCCCGCCCTCCTCACTCTGCCCTCCAGAGTTTAGAGGACGTATGCCATCAATTGACTTATTCGGACTTTGAATCTTCCAAGGGACATTCGACGCTTTTTTTAGAATCTTAACAAGGAAGAGGCCGACTACGAGTAACTAGCGAACCCTTTTTATCATCTCCGACGAGGAACATAGTCGGCGCATATCTCTATCTCTATCGTCACTCCTCTCCACCATTCAAAACGAAATCACATAAACCACCGACAGCATTCGACGACATCTATCGCCATCGCAGCCACTCAAGAAGATCAGAGAAAGATCTTGTAATCTTGTCGATCTTCCCGCGCTGCCTCAATGAACAACGGTCGCGGTGGTCGAGGTAACACGTATCACTCCAAATCGTCGCGTTAGAAACCATTCGGGCGTTAGAGGCCATCCTCGGTCAGTCCAGCGACTCGGAGCTTTATTTCGAATTCAGAACCTTCAAGTTCTGACATACAACCAAGCAAATCACAAAGGACTACTTCCAATCACCACTGGCGCCCATCGCATTTGCCTTCAGGAGCCAGACATTGGCAACCCCTCCAACGTTCCCGAGGCACTGGTACCAGACAGCTCTCCAACAAAAACAAACACTTCCCCGGGCAGAACCACATGCCACCGCCGCAACTTAGGGGCTTTGGTGGGGGGCCTGCTGTGGCAGCGCCATATCACCAGGGCGGTTTCCCCTCCCATGCCCAACAACAGGGTGGCCACTTGGGCGCGAACCAGTACCTGAATGCCAACACACAACTGGGACCCTTCTCTGCTGCCAACAGCAATGCATTTACGACGGCCGGTCTCAATGGTCAGGGGTTCGCCGATACAGGATTTGGTAGTCAAAGTGCAAGAATGGGTTTCCATGGCCCCGCAGCCGCCCTACAACAACCACAACACGGGCAGGTTCACCAGAACATGTTGATGGAACACCCAGGAATCAGGTCACATCCTAACAAGGGTAGAATACGGGAAGTATGGAAGCACAACTTGCACGAAGAAATGGCTGTATTGCGAGACTTGGTGGACAAGTATCCTTACATTGCGATGGTAAGGCTTGAGGAATGAGCATCGTTTCTGAAGATGTGCTAATCAATGGGTGTGAAAAGGATACCGAGTTTCCAGGTGTCGTTTCAAGGCCCATGGGAGGATTCCGAGGGAAGAGCGATTATCACTATCAATGCCTACGAACCAACGTCGATATGCTAAGGGTCATCCAAATAGGGCTCACTTTCTTTAACGAAGACGGCGAGACCCCCCTCCACGGCCCACAAGCGATCTGAAGCTTGGAACAGCCGCTCAAAGGGCAGCGACTAATGCTCCCTTCCCTTGTTCATGGCAGTTCAACTTTAAGTTCTCATTGAAAGACGACATGTATAACGAGAAATCGATCGAGTCACTTCAGCAAGCGGGGATCGACTTTAATGCTCTCGAACGTGATGGCATCGATCCTCACGAGTTCGCCTCTCTTCTGATTCCTTCAGGTCTTGTCTGCTTCGATAACGTCAAGTGGATATCGTTCCATGGCGGTTACGATTTCGGCTACCTGACCAAGCTCCTTATCTGCTTGCCATTGCCCAACGACGAAGTCGATTTTGACCACAAGATGAAGCTCTACTTCCCTACGACGTACGACGTGAAGCACCTCATGAAGCACGCCATCAGGTTACACAACTCCGGCCTTCTTACACCCAGCGATCCCAGTAGTACTGAGATCCTGCAAAAGTTTGAGCATAAATCTGGACTTGAGAACATTGCCGAAACCCTCAAGATTAAACGTGTTGGCTCTGCCCACCAAGCAGGCTCCGATTCGTTACTCACCGGAAAGGTCTTCTTCTCTATGCGCGATAAGATCTTTGCCGGTGATATCCCTGATGAGCATGTTGGCAAGGTCTGGGGCTTGGGTTTCCCTGACTCAAATTCCAGCCTTGTCATGTCAATGATGAACCAGCAAAGCGGCAATGATGGGCAGACAAATGGCAACGGACCTAGCACACCTAACACGACGAATGCTGCGCTAGCCACCACCCCGGGACCCCAAGGGCATAATGGTATCATCAACACCGGGCCTATGACTCCTGGTGGAGGCGGTGGTGTATTTGGCAACTTTGCTTTTGGCGGAAACCGATGAGAGGTTCATTCCCCGAGGGCTGTTTGCCCACTGGGAGGGCTTGGACTATGCCGATAGTATTAATGTTTTCTATGCCTTGCATTGTGCTCTTTTACCATTAACCTATTCCTCTTTCATTATGACCGTTCATTATTCCAAAAGCATAATTATTGGCTTTTCTACATGAAATGGGTCTGTATAGTGAGATATCACACCTCCTTGCTATCGTGCTCTTCTTCGCTTCCCGCTCCACGCTCCAATGCACTCTGCCTAGGGTTACGTTTTTGATATATGACATTCGGAAATTTCAGGAATCCAACGGAAAAAAAGGGACAGGGAAGGACGGTTGGAAGGGGATCATACGTGTCAGTTGGTGTCGGCGCCGCTGTTGTATACTGTATTGTATGGTTAACTAGGAGTTGGCACCCTTGAATTTGAGCTTCACAAAGTTGTTCATCTTGTCCAATTAAATTGTGCTATGGCATGATGCCTGTCAAGGATGGATGGCAGCGCTATGTCTACGCTGCTGGCTCGCTGTGAGTTTGTACTGTACAATATGATGGAAACCGGAACACCGAGCCCAGTAATGAACGCCAATAACCGACTAGAAATTTCTTTTACATATCATCAGTGCCTGACGATAAAGTCTTTACGTAATGTAAACCTTCTTCAGTGACTCGATTGGGAAGATATCGCCTGTCCGGAGGTCTTTAACCTGATCAGAAGACAAGTTATTCTTCCTCGCCTGTGTTTCAAGGCGGTCCCTTCCATAGACGCTACCGTTAGGCAGTAGTCTGAGATCATGCTCCACATGACTCTGAGTATGGTGGGCGTACGGCACGTTCCGGGCAAGCTCATTCAATTCAGTAGAACAGATGGGACAAACGCCGTGACCGAGTGTTGAAGCTGTTGCTGCGATATCGGATGTGCTATGAGCAGATGGACTATCTGATGAGTGCATTGGGTCCGTGTGGCATGCAGGTGTTTTGAGAGCTGAAAGACCAGAAGAGAGTGCTAGGTGAAGGAGTGGAACTGCAGGAAGGGCGAGGAGCTGATTGTGGGTTGTTGTGAAGAGGTCAGCAAGGTCAGCCCAGCGGGAAGGCTTATACAGATCTCCGTATGGTGCGGCGGCGGATGCACCACCGGGGGGGAAAGCAAGCAGGCCACAGACCTGCTGGACTTCTCGGGGGAATGTGGCCCGGTAGGGAATGAGATGTTTCTTTGCGTGAGCAATGGCTTCAGTGAGTTTGGCCGAGGATTGCGAGCGGACCAGCTCGATATATTGTTGAAAGCGAAGCATGAACTCGAGCTTACTCTGTGAAAAGTTAGAATATGAAGCTTGAGGCGGCTTCTAGAATAGGCAACGTACCTCCATCTTCCTTAACTCCTTCTTGTTATCGGTGCACCAAGCCAGAGCTTCAACCACGCTCTGCTTCAGAAGAGAATCTCGGATACGACTTGCAGCAACAAAGGTGTCGATATCAACGAGATCGGTGATGCCACGCTGCTCAGCCAGCTCCTTTGCAGTACCGTTGTATCCATGGCGAAGCAGATAGTCTGCCAAAAGTCGATCGAGCCTCTTCCTACTCCATGTTTCGTACTTAACGTCCTCCACCGTATCCATCTTGTATAGTTCGTCGAGATGTGAGATGCGGGCAGCTGTCTGCGTATGAAGGCGAGCCTCCTCAGCGGCACTCGCATTGAGTTTGCGCTTCAAACCTCGCATGCGGGACACCATTGCGTCGATGTTACGAAGGACATCTTGCTGTGATGCGCGGCCAGAGACGGCAGCGGTGGCTGAATCCTTGAGCAATGTCTTTAAGGCGGCTGTGTCTTTCTCGATTGTGAAATGTGCCGTGCGGAAGTTCTTTCGAAGGAGTTCGGAAGGGAGGCGAAGGAGCGGTTGGTCCTGATGTTGACTATCAGTTATTATCGAGAGGCGGTGATGGGGTGCTTGGTTGGGTCGGACTTACAAGCAGCAGATGCTCGCTATGTTTGATCTGGGAACTTTCGTGATCACCCATTATGAATGTTTGTTTGTGGATGAATAGCTTGATTACTCAGATAGTAACTTTTCGTATGTAGCGCCCGTACAAGGCGGGCGGCTTATTAAGCTCCGATGATTGTGATTGATAGTCGTTGAAGTGAAGTGAAGTCAAAGCAAAGTGTGGTGGGTTGTGTCATGAGTGGGAGCCCGAGCTCCAATGGGCGCTATGTACGTACATCATGCAGTCCTCCACTCCCCGTCCCGCCTTCGGAACATGGGCATGTGGGGCCCCGTCTTGGGAGTGATTCCGGCTGTGAGCGAAGAGCATGAAGAAATAGAACCAGGAGAGAATCTATACCTCTACGCAGATATTTGTGTTCCTGCCTGAATATAGGTAGGCCCTTGTTCAGATGTTCTCGGCTGCTTAACAAAGAAACAACTATAATCGGAGGAAATGCTCCATACAAGACTCTAGCACATCGGCTTCAACTCCCTTGTGTTCATTATTAGCCTGCATCTGGTTCTGGTATGACAAGATGCACTTTATGCCGCGAACCATCAGTGGTCCGTTCAGCATAAGGTCGGCTGGCTGCATGAAGCAAATAGATCATGGTGGAGAAACACGGTATAGAATCTGATATCTCACAGTTGAGAGGTCTGAGGATCGTATTGGATATGCATTGCAGACTTGACTCCAATACTCGAACGCCTCTGTGACACCTAGGCTATCCTTGCTTGAAGGGAAATGAGGTTTTTCTTGGAAAACGAAAGCCAATATTGGTATGATAAGGAACTGACTCTGCAATGTGTCTGTACAGTTCAGGCCTTGATTCACAGCATATTTCACGTAAAGCTGAACCCACTGAGGCCCCTACAGCCATTAACTCCTGTGTCAGACGAGTCCAAATTGGATCATCTGTCGCAGATATCTTAAGGACGCAACCTGTTTCACCTCTCGGCGTCAAGTGATGTACGTGGGATGGGATCAGGTGATTACATGCCGGGTCCTCATGTTCTAGTGGTGTGGTGTAATTGTGTACGTAGTATTGTTTGTTATCCTTGAGGGTTCTCTAATTGGCCTGTGCTGTGTAATGATTCTCCGCATTGGAGAGCTATACAAGCTGACAATGAGAGGGACAATCTAGTTAAGACACGAGGGGATCAAGCTTGTTATTGTATGATGAGAGCACCAAAGTACTAATGTTGGTGTTGTTGTATGTTCTTGGCTGAATCTTTTTAATAGGTAGTTGTATTATATATGGTCCTATATATGCTGAGAATAGGATCTATGAACTCATCTCATATCATACAGTTACGCAGGTGCAATGCAACTAACAACTACCTACCTCAGCTAGCACTTTCCACATTGATTCATAACGCCTTCGCCCTTTCCAGGTTCCCTGCCTGCCTGTTCCCCCCATCTCAGACCGTATGTGGCCCACCTGACCTTCCTATTGGTCGCCCTCTCTCATCGCGGCCACTTATTTCGGCCTCAGGCAGCATCCTTCCCCCCCTCTCACTCGCGTCAACTTATTTATCTTACCAGCCTCACCCACTTGCACGTGTTCACCCTCTTCCTCCGCCGCGTGACCCGACTCGCTCACTCCAGTGCCAGTTCCCAGCTGCGTGTCCAGCCAAAGAAGCGCCCATTTTCGCCGGGGAGAGAATTCGTTCTTCCCCTTTAGTAACATAAAGATCCTCGCGTCTTTATTTTGACCCGAACGCGTATCAAAGACCCAAGATTTATTCCTCCTCCTTTTTTTTTTTAAGAACATTCTTTTGTTACGTATTGGTCCTGGTTCTGTTCATTTACAGACGCGAAGTTGTCGACTTATCAACTGGGACTCGCGCGATATCACGAGGTAGATCCCGCCAAAGTAAACACGTGAGACGAGAAACTCGTGATCTCGCACGATCACGCCTCGAAGCACATGATCTGGGAGGTATGTCGCTTTCATGCATCTCATTCACTTCACGATACCTTTGATTTAATGATCTGCACGACGATGCAGCAATGCAACTCGAGTCTCTGCACTCAGGACTGGGCTTTGCAAAATATTTGCGCCTATGGAATGAGGATTGACAATGCATCACAATGAATACAATGCATCTTGCCAAGTGGCCGCATCTTCACTGCTTGAATCATCAACACAATCACTATAGTTCACAGTCACAACTGTACGTCGCTTGCTATCATGAGCATCGCATAAATATACTCTTGTGCCTGCCCCTGCATCTTCCTTTGTGCTGTTTTCATCCCTCATAAAGAGTGACTGAATCAGCACAGACCCATCGCATCGCCTCATCATGCCTTTCTCTCACGCTGGGTTATCGCGACTCTCACATTCACTCCTCAAGCGAGCGACAACCTACGAGACTTTCCCTTCTGTCCATACCCTATGCAAAGATTCAAGCCCTCTTCAAGGAGAAGACTAGCGCATCATGTGCACGTGTTACAGTTGACACTGGCACTCAACCAACACAACAGATGCTCGACATCTTCTCCATCAATCGAGGCCGGATTCCCTTTGCTCTTCTCTCCCGCAATTCATCTACCCATAGTTTAATTCTGCAGCGAGTTTATTCTAACTGCCCTTCCCTATCCAGATCTTTGAATGATTGTCAACGTCTCTCATCTGTGGCCTCGACATCGTCAAACTTTGCGCCCAGCCTCTTTAATCTTGGCGAGCGCTTTTGATCGAACAAACCCGTCTACCAAAACCACTTTGTTTTTTTCTCTTTCGATATTTCTCTCACGACTGAACCATGGCTGAAGTTCTTGCCGAGCAGCCAGACCTCTCCAGCCTGACCGGCTCCCCTGGTCAGAAGCGGAAGCGCGAATCCGGCAGTCCTGATCTCGCCAGGAATAAACGCCCTGCCCCAGCTGCGCACATGTCAACCGACCCCGCCTCCTTCATCGATAGTGCCATGGAGAATCAGGTCGTTAATGCAAATGGCGTCAACGTCGCGGATTTCAACGCTCTGCAGCAGGCCGCTCAAGCAGATCACGACCACCCCGAAGCTCCGGATCCCACTAGTGCTACCAGCACCGCACAGGCTGCCCTCGGCATGTATCCCACCCTGCATGTTCCACCTTCGACAGAAGAGCAGTTTGCAGCCCAAGCAGCCACTGATCCTGAGCACGGCCATGATCCGGCTTTCAACCCCGATGTGACCCCTACAGTCGACAGTATTATGGAGCCTCCTCAAGTCGGGCCTCCTCAGCATCAACATACACCACCTAATGGTGTTCCGCACCAGCCACCACGATACAATCCCGCAGCCCCCAACCCTAAGCCAACAGTCGGATCAGAAGAGTGGCACAAGATGCGAAAGGACAACCATAAAGAAGGTGTGGATACCCATCTAATCTGACGATTTGTCTTCAAATATACTAACAGAAAACAGTCGAACGTCGCCGTCGGGAAACCATCAACGAAGGTATCAACGAACTCGCTAAGATTGTCCCTGGCTGTGAGAAGAACAAGGGTTCCATTCTACAACGGGCAGTCAGCTTCATCTCCCAGCTTAAGGAGAACGAGCAAC